ACCTGCTGATCTCAGGACACTGAAAGCAAGCAGGGAACACTGTAATCCATTCAATGCTCACTCCAGCCAGCCGATAGGAGGGATGCTACTGAAATCATCAAACAGTGCTTGCCTGTCCCCCCCACCCCCAGCCTGGCATAACAAAAATAATTTTGCCCTTGTTATTGTGAGGCGTACCTTCCTTGGGAGGTGCAGACAGAGCCCAGGGGAGGTGTGAAGAAGCTTTTAGTTATGTTGTTACAATAAATCCACCTTGCCCCAAATTCCATTTTATTGTTTTTATTGTTCATTTGTGTTCATTTTGGTGTTTGGATTTTTAGGGGAGGTGTGTACATTAAGATTATACCAAAGGGACGTGTGATAGCAAAACGTTTAGGAACCCCTGTTTTACAAGGAAAGAGGGGGAAAAATGAATTGCTATCCCTGTATGAATAAGTGCAAGGCAAGCCATCTACTGCTTCCTCAACCATGACATTGTTACAATAAATCCACCTTGCCCCAAATTCCATTTTATTGTTTTTATTGTTCATTTGTGTTCATTTTGGTGTTTGGATTTTTAGGGGAGGTGTGTACATTAAGATTATACCAAAGGGACGTGTGATAGCAAAACGTTTAGGAACCCCTGTTTTACAAGGAAAGAGGGGGAAAAATGAATTGCTATCCCTGTACCACCTCTGCTGTCACTTTTCCTTCATATAAATCCCCATTGAAAACTGGAATGATGGCGTGACACCATCGTTGTGTAGCCAGGCACTCTCCCCAACAGCTGCAATCATGGTTATTACTTTTAGTGTAAAGTATCTAATGTATATGAATGAGGCAAAGCAACTTAATGGCTTGCTTGAGTCCAGAAGCTGTGAGGCATGTGAGGCAAGAGTTCAGAACAGGGAACATCCATGCTGGATCAGTAGAAATGTCATGGTTGAGGAAGCAGTAGATGGCTTGCCTTGCACTTATTCATGGAATTTATTGGCAAGGCAGACAGTGTTATCTCCTATTTTTAACCTTCCTATTTTCCTGCTCATTTTCCATCTTTTTTCTTTCCCAGAAAATCTGTTCAGGAGAGGAAAGACAGAATAGCTGCCTCATGGCCTTTGTCTGATAGCAATAGGAGCATCCCATCTGGAGCATTCCTTTTGACTTGCATGTCTAAATTCTATTGGCTGGAGTTGAGACATGGGGAACCTGGCAGGAGTTCGCAGGATATTGAGTTGACTCCATCTATTCTTCCATGCGATGGTTGCATCTTCATTTTGTGATGCATTGTTCTGAGCTTTGAATGGAAAGAGACAGGAAGGTACTGATGCTGCAAATAATGAACTGGAACTGAACAACTGAACAAGAATCATAAACACTTCATAAGCAGAAGCCAATGGATTTGGGTCCAATTTCTGGGAATTTAGAAAGTGATTTACAGTGGCTGTAGCAGTGTGCACAAGAGGTATGGTATTTTGCAGCACAAATATGTGGAAGCAATTTCTGAACTAAGGAAGAACTGACTTGCTTAAAAAATAATGATGAAAAGTTTGATAAAATAGCTGTGAGGGAAATCTTACAAAAGTTGCATTAACGTATGCATACAACATGAGATTTTAAAACACCAAGTCGAACCTGGAACTGTTGCAGGATTTAATGTGTAAAGCTTTATTTTTAGTCTTTCCGTTTTAACCAAGACTGACAGCACAGCACATAAACCACAGAAAACACTGGCCCATTGTAAGCCTCCAAACAGCCTTAGGCAGGGTTGATATTTCAGGATTGCTGGCTTGGAGAAGAGCAAGTACCTTCAGTGGCATTGAACCTCAGTGCTTTTGTTATTTGTATCAGTTCAGCAAAGGGGAAGCAGTTTTTACAAGTAGTTCTGATGAGCTAGGAACCCACGCTTCTCTGCATCATCAAACTTCAGGTTGTTAATTGCGTTATGCTTGGAACATTTAACATCATTCTGGGCAAAGAACCAAGCAGAAGTCTTTGAAAGAAAGAAATTGTGTTTGTTTATTGATTTGATTTTTTAAATAATGATTAACTGTTAAGATGGTTTTCAATAAAGTAGATTTAAAGTACCAATTTTAATATTGCCCATGCTTTGACTGCGATGAATGCATTTTTTTAAAAGGCAATCTCATATCATAAATATGCTAGTGAAACAATGTCTGAGTTATATTAGGATTAAACTAAAGTGCAGCTCAAGGAATAAGAGGAATTATTTAGTTAGGCAAATAAAATGGTCTTAAATGCTGTTCTAATACCTGAAAGGAAGCTGCTAGTTTGTTGTAGCTCAGTCATAAAACAAACATTGCAAAAGGTCCTACATTCAATTCCTTTTTAAAAAATAATTTTATTAAATGTTTTTTTTAAAAAAAGATAAAAACTAATACAAACTACCAAAAAGTAAGAAAGAAAAAAAAAGCAATCAAAGAGGAAGCTAAAAGTGCAAGAAAGGAAAAAAGAAAAAGAAAGAAAAAAGATATAAAGAAACGGCTTTATATCTTTCTTTCTTTTTAATTTTTCTAAATTTAATTCCTGACCTTTCTAAATAAAACCGAGAAATACTTCAAGCTAAAACCCTGAAATGCCATTCCTGGCAGTGCTGACACCATTAGGCTAGAATGGACCAAGGGTCTGGCAAGGCAGCAAGTCATACACTTCAGCTGCCCAGGGAGATAGTTCTGTAGACACTTTTAGGATTGGGTGGTGTGCACATGAAGTGAATAAGTGAATAAATAAATGCCCCCATCCACACAGCCCACTTAACTGGGCTGCCACCGCTTCTAAGTAAGTTTTCATCTGGTGAGTGAAAAACAGACAGCCCAGCGTATTGAAGGCTACCTCAATTTACCAGAGGGAAGTTGCAGGAGATGAGGAGAGCTTCCCGCAACAGATGGAATGCCTGTAGCAGCTGTGTTTTTTGTAAGGCCTTTGTATGTCTGCAGGCTGGAGAGAGGGGGAGCCTCAGGTTAACCCTCTCTTCAGAGTTCAGATAACATGACATGACTTGGTCAAGGAAAGGTACCAACTATTATGTTTCAGGATTAATTGGAGGCTGTTCTTGCCTGTGGCATCTTTAAATTATCTGTTTAAGTATAGCACTGAACGTAGCTTTGTAAATACAGCTTGCATTGAGAAAAAGCTTGAGGTAATCAGTCTGCAAAAACAGAGCACGTTTTGTGGAGTTAGTCCAGAAACATTTGCAAGTTGCTGGGTAAGTTTTTTAATCAGGTTTTTCCCATCTGTCGTACCCCACTTATGCCCAGGTCTGTTGTCATCATTTGCAATGTGAAGCATGCAGTCCATAAAAATATGGATTTTCTTATTTGCAAATGGATGTGGTTAAATGCAAAATAGCTGGTTTTCTACATCAGAGAACACTCGTTGTCGGTCACAGTTATGTCAGACTATACATGGACAGGCCTTGATGCAAGTTTTGACTGGCATAGATAAAGATAAGAAATTAAGTTGCTTTGGTGTAAATTCTTCGACGGTTACAAGAACTGATATTCCCTCAAGCTTTGTACTGTATGTTCTGACCTAGCAGTGGTTGTCTAAGGTCTCAACATTGACCCTGGGATGTTTTTAACTGGACAAGCTTGGGACTGAACCTGGAACCTTCTGCAAGCAAACTGAATGCTGTGTGTAATGCTTTTCCCATAAAAGGAGAGGCATGTTCTTGCTCCTGGCAATAAGGCTTAAGATTCTGCCATAGCATTTCAGAACAAACAGTGTTGAAGAAATGGCAAAACCTGTGCTTTCTGTGCTGTTATCCCAGTATACTGTGTATGCAATCCTCAAACAAGAATAGGCTAAGCTCAGCCATCCAGCCGTTTAAAAAAACCCATGTGGGTACCGTTGTATTGTTTTGCAATCAATGATAGGGGGCCTTTGGAAACAAACTCTTTCAGTTTTCTAGGATATCAGTTGTATGTCATTTTTTAAAAACCAGAATTACATCCTCTCCAGTATTTTACCCTATTCTGTTAAGCCTCTGGCTTGGGGTTTGAAACTTCTCTGCTGCCAAAGCCAACTGCCGGAAACCACTGGAGCCTTTGAACAAATTTGATGGCTTGTACTTCCTCAAAGGAAGAGCCCCATGAACTGATTGTTTTATAACATTAAAAGTAAACATGTCAGTGAGAGATCCACCATGATCAGATTTCATACAGATATTAGCAAACCGATGACAAGATTGGAAGATGAGGATTCGGATGAGAACCATGGTGCTGGGGAAAATAATTCATTCTGTGTTGCTCATGCCAGTAAAAGCTGCCATTTTTTCAGGTAGTTGCCACATGAGACTTTTAGTGCAGAGACTTCTGTGGAGTGCAGGAAAGGAAGGAAGGAAGGAAGGAAGGAAGGAAGGAAGGAAGGAAGGAAGGAAGGAAGGAAGGAAGGAAGGAAGGAAGGAAGGAAGGAAGGAAAACAGACAGACAGACAGGGGATACAGAGACTTTTGTGGTAATGAACAAGAGAGAAGGAGCTGCTTGCAAAACTGGAGCAGAAAGACAAGTGGTGCTGGAGACAGAAAAAGAGGTTGAACAGTGAATTTGGAGGTGTAGTCTCCTGAGGATGAAGTAACCGAAGCAGAAGGACTATGAGATGGAGTTGTTGAGGATAACTAGGGAAGGGTTCACACATGAGCTCAGAGGCAGATGACAGAAAATGGACTAGACAGAAAGCACAGAGTTAAAACTGTAGCAAAACCCTTTGCATAGTTATAAAGCCCCTTTGACTTCATACATGTTTCCAAGTGGCTTGAATGATTTGTTATGCACTCAACATTAACTTCCTTTCTATCCTTTAAAATTCAACTTTGTCATTAACTGGGGAGCCTGGCCCAGCTTCCAGGGATTCCTGACCTTTTGAATCTCCTTCCACAGTTACAGGAAGGAAGAGGGATGTAGGAAAGTTGTTTGGGAATATGAAGGTTTGTTTTATAAATACGCAAGGGAGCATTAAATTTGAACTTGGCTTTCATGCTTTCTCTGTTTTTCTTCTTTGTACAGCCATCCACTGAGGAGAGCCCTGCAAAGCATGTAGATACCCCGGTAAGTTTCTTTCTTTTAGAGTTTGGAGAGGAAATGGTGTTAGCGATCCACGTTATATTGTGTCCATTTCTTCTGTTCCGTGTCAAGTAGCTCCCCGTCTAATTCTCTGCAACCTTATTAGTCTTTCCGGCCACGAGAGATGCCCCAGTCCCTGGCTCCTACAGCTATTTCAGTCTTTCTTTAGTGTTATCATGTTTCTAACCCATTTGGCAATAGGACTGCATCTTATTTTCCAGGTGAACTGCAGGGTGCTGCTGGGGGGCATCCCTGCGGCCTGCCAACATAGTGCAGCTCTTTGGTCTAGTATCGGGAGTGAAACATTAGTGCTAAACCATTTGCAAGTGATATGTCTTAGGAAATGGCAAGTGATATGACTTAGGAAATGGCTTCTCAAACATTGCATTAAAGCCAGCTTAATTCAATCCACCTTAATTTATTTATGTTTTCATTTTACTCTGCCTTGCCTTTCCACTCCTAGGAAATGGAAGGTGGAAATAGACGCAAAGCAAAAGCAAAATATCAAATAGTTAAAATCTGGTTAAGACAGCAACTAAAATCATCTTTAATTTGATCTGTTAACCCACTTAATTAACCCACATGAAATCATCTTTAATTCAGTCTAAAAGTCCCAGCTAAAGGGAAAGGTTTTGCCTTCTTTCCTAAAGGCAGAGAAATTGGGGAGTATGTGTAACTCCTGAGGGAGGTGTCCTTAGCTTGGGAACAATGCAAGAGAAACCCAGCTAACACAGTTCAAACCAGCTCCAACCTCTCCTAGCTGTGCTCAAGATTCAGTCTATATAACCTTACTTAAAATCATTACAAGCTGAGTTATTAAAAGTCATGTTTGGAAGAGCCTTCTTGAACTATGCTTCTCATTTTTCCAAAAATGATTTGGAAAAAGTGCCTTGGATCCTGCATAAACTGGAGCCCTGCATTTTTCTGTTCTTTATTAAAGCAGCCTATTGTTTTTCAGGATTTTCAGGCACAACTACAACTTTTTTTAGGTTTGCACAGAAGCTTGAAAAATTATGGGCTGCTTTAATGAAGAGTAGAGAGGTGCTGGGCTCAGACTTATGCAAGATCCAAGGCATTTTTCCCAAATTGTTTTTCAAGCATGAACAGCCCTAATTTATTTAGCAGATTTCTGCATGGGTCATAAATCCAATTCAATGGTCTTTGTTGAAACAGAATAGAACTATAGCATCAAGTCCTAAACAGAAAGAAACCAACATTGTTTTTCCAGTGACAGTACAATAAAATCATCCTCACACATTCTGAAAACAATATTCATTGATCTGGGAATAAATTTAGGGAACTCAGTATTAAGAGCAATGCAAAGCACTTACAAAGAAACCAGAAGTCAAATACACTGACATCTAAGTCTTACATGAAGCGTACATTCACTTTCTTACCCTGCGAAAATAAAGCTAAGTTTGAAAGCTATTGCGATAGCATTGCGTTGTTGTTGGAATTTTGTGTGTGTGTGGCTTAACAATATTATGCAATTCTGAATTCTGAAGATGCTTTTTCAATATTGCTTGATGATGTGCCATCAAGTCATTGTCAACTCTTTAGCAATCACATTCTTCATTCTACAATATCCTATATCCAAGAAATATCAATCTTATAAAAGTCATTGTCAAAAAATATTGAAAAGTAGTTCCTTGGGCACTTAGCAACTAGCTAACTGCTCCCATGGGTGGTCTAGTTGGATGTAACTGTAATATCTGGTAGGGAATGGAAAGTCACTGAGGTATCTTCTTGTAACTAGATAAATGCAAGAAACATTTTTTTCTAGTTACAAAATTAGCGAGTACAATCTGTGATTTCCTGCTTTAAAGAAGGAAGTATGAAAAGAGAAAAGACCCAGTCTTTTGAAATGTAACATCTGGACCAGCTCTGAGAGGATGGAAATTTCTTGAGAGTCAAGGAGTGTCTGGAAACAAAACCATTTTTTCTTGGGAAGAAATGAAAAACATCTTGCCCTAAGCCCGATGGCCTTGTTCAAGCACAAGGGTATGAAGAGGCACTCCCTGGGAGAAGAGCCATCCTAGTTTGCTTGAAAAAAATTATTCATTTATTTAGGAAATTTATATAGCCACCCATCTTAAATGCATAACTCTGGGCAGTGAATATTCCATACAAAACAATACTAAAAAATCCCACCCCATAACCAGTTTAAAGTAATCCAATATAAGAAAAGACAACTAGGGCACTACATAGCAATTCCATAAAAATAAACACATGTATACAGGTAATCCTTGCTTACCGACCATTCATTCATCAACCGTTTGAAGTTATGATGGCACTGAAGAAGACTTGTGACCGGTCCTCAAAGTTCTGGCCATCCCAGCACCCCTGCTATCACATCCTGTCATGTGATAGCAATCTGGGCGCTGGCAACCAGCTCGCACTTAAGATGGTTGCAGCTTCCTGCAGACACGCAATCCCCATTTGTGACCTTCCCTGCCAGCTTCCCACAAGCAAAGTCAATGGGGAAGCTGGCAGGGA